TTTTTTTTTTTTTTTTTTTTTTTTTTTGAAAATGGCGGGAACCAACGTTCACTCGGGATTCACATTCTTTAATCTCCAAGACGCCGGAGATGCCGCCCGCGCTACCTAGCTGAACTTGGAAACGTAGGTTTGCGCTTTTGATTACAGAGGTTTCGGGGAGCTGCCGAGAGCGTTCGTGGATCTAATAATCAGCTGCAGCATCTTAGTCAGAAGGCAGATAGATTCCTGGCAGAATGCAAGTCCATCGAGACGATCTAGGGCTTCCGTCGACAAGTCTAAGATTTTTCCTGAGATGTAAGTATTTTTGTTTCTGATCTTGATTTTTTGTCATCGCTAGCTGGATGTCTGTAGATCTACTTTAAATATTTGGTGAATGAGCATTGATGCTTTGGTGTATGCAGATTTGAAATTCTGAGCAAGCTTATTGACAGCTTAGTCTCCGCTATGCGATTGTAGCGACTCTAAGATTTAGCTTCGAAGTTTTCTAATGTTTGCCGCAAGATAGAAGTCTCCACTGATAGGTACACATTGCATCTTCCTTTCCGTTATCGGATGCTACAATCAATTCATGTGTTGATACTTGAGATAATATTGTTCTTTGAGAAGTACCTCAAACTATTTATTTGAATGGTTGCCTAAGTAACACCGTAGAAGTTTACGAGTCCCGTTATTGTTACCGTCTAAAGAACAACAAAGAATATGGACCTTGCTAATGCCGATATCCTAATACTGAAACAGACTTCAGAAAGAAACTCGTGTCGTTGGAATGAGATAAGACATAGTGAAGCGATGTGATTGAACAACCTCAGCTAATGGATATTCCAAAACAGGTTAGTCATTTGTTCCTTCTCTGTACGAAACACTCATATATTTGAAAATATACATGATTATAGTGTCTGCATTATGCACTTCTTTAGAACGAGCTGGATTTGGAAAAAATTGAAACCAACACCTACTTATCAAACTCGTCGCCTATAATGTCATATAAGGCAATGGATTTCCTATACCATTTGAATCCAACTCGTTCTCCTGTGTTTGCGGTTGGTTGGATTGGGGCGGGGAAAAGGGTATTACTGGCTTCTTCTTCTTCTATTTTTAAACGAAGAATATGCATAGTCTTCTCTTTCGATTTCCATTATAATGGAAGTAGCTTTCCTCTGGTAAGGGGCTATTCTTCAAGCCTTGCATAGTTCTGCTGTAAGATTAATGGTCAATGACTCTCAGTGAATATTAGATAAATTTTTGTAGAATTTGGCTGGAAAACTGAAGGTTCTAAGGTGTTTGACTTTCCCTTATCAAGTTGGTGGGGGGAAATCCTAGACAAAATATCGCATCCGTCTCACTGATCATCAATTTCCCTGATTCACTAGTTTGAAATTTCTGAATTTGCTACAAACTTACCTTTGCAAAGATCATCAAATTTTGTACAAAGAGAGATTATAATTCAAGGAGGTTGATCATAAAGAGACAAAACTGGGGCCTTCGTACACAGACGAGTTAGGTTTGTATTTTCTCAAGCATTTTGCCACAGTATAAAAAGATATAGTTTCACAGGAGACTCACGGGCTTGCAGAGACGCCTAAATTCCAAGTTTCTACTTGAATATCTTCTTGTCCTTCTCATGGGCCTCGTGCACTTGAGAAATGGACCAGGATTCTAACACTATAGGTTTCCAATTCAATAGAGCCTTTTGTAGGTCCCTTGTTCTGAGAGTAACAATAAAATCTTTAATATGAAGGAGAAGTCCTAGTCTCTTGTGGCTTTTTAATGCTGTGAACTTTTTTGTCCTTTTAGTAATTATAGTCTAAATAGTCTTCTTTTTTAAGAGTTTTCTGTCATCTCTTTCGGAAAACTCTCTTTTGGCTTAAGACTTTGTCTATCCTCGTTTCGTATATATCCCTTCATATTATCTGTGAAATTGTTTCTTGTCTTAGAAAAATCATGCTCAAATGGAAAATTTGTGAGAATAGTTAGTTCAAAGGCCTTGATTTGGTTAAAACTCTAGTGAGATTAAATAAAAATGATATTGCCATTAGAGTGGGGAAAACAGAGAAAACGAAACAGAGAAACCAGAATTATGTGAAGTGACCACTGACAATGATTGAAAAGAATAAAGTTTAAACCGAAACAAACGATCATCAAATAAACACTCCGCAACCATAAGGGAGAGGCTTGACCTGACCGATCAAAGCTGGAGTTGAACTGTACTCATGAAAAAGCTTGAAAGAGAGAAAAAGAGAAGAAATCTAGAAAAAGTTAGGCATCTTTCCATTGATGTTGATGTTGATGTCTCTTGTTGAATGTAGGTGGCAGCATTAGGGTTACCGACATAGAGTAGACATTGCTCAAACTGGAAGCCAATACCCCTTTGTCCTTAAACATTAAAAACCCCGAAAACAAGAAACATACACGACTGAAGCAATTGAAGCCGAAGCCGTTCAAAGATGCAATTTTTTAAAGAAGGTTAAAAATATTTCTTCCCCACTGAATGCTATACAGCCAAGTTTTGATGGACTTCACAATAATGCTGCTGGTCAAAATAATTTTGTAAAGTTGTGGGTTTGT